TTGGACAAGAACCTTTATAAACAAAGTCTACAAGATCTTTGCCCCCAAAGATGAACCCAAAAACGCCATCCTCCCAAGGCTGCTTAAGCACGCGAATATCTGGATCAACCAGTGCGGCTTGGTTTGCACTACGAAACACAGCATCAAAGTCTACTTTCCGACCTGCCAACGGATCAGCAATAGCTTGTTGCACGGGAACTGTGCTGTTGTCTCGCACCTGATTCCACCACTGTGACTCGGAATCCATCAAGTCTGCGACCGGAGCATCCTCGGAATCTGGTCCGTCCAGCGAGACACTATAACCTGGATCTACAACCCCAGCAGGTGGGAGGTCGCCCTTGGATGCATAAGCCGCAGCCAATAAAGCATCAAGGCTTACATTCTCAGCTGCAAGACTCTGCCCAACCTCACTCGCAGGCTCGTCAAGACCAAAGACCGACTCTGCCGATGGAGAACCTAGGCCTGTAACTTCAACGTCCACCAATCCTTCAGCCTCTGCAGCCTCAGCTGCCTGGCTCCCCATATGATGATCTGAAGCTGCAGAGCGCATTGTTTCGGCGCTAGCGAGCACCGGCACTGGCAGTGGCCATCCGCAGCGCCCACGCTGCTTGCACAGGTGCGCTAGCCGCACGGAACACCGGTTTACCGAGGCCAGAGCCTGCTAGAAAGTCCTTAAGAGGCTCTAGAAGGCCCAAAAGAAAACGAATTTCTCGCCTATCACCACAGGTGGGAAAAAGGCTGCAGCGAACGAGAAATTCAATCACCACACCTACCAGGAAAACTCAGCAAGCTAATTTTCTCCAAAAGAAAATTTTTCTGCTCGGACAGAATAAAGTAACATCCCCTCGTCGAGGGTCATAACGGGGAGTGTGTACTTGTACAGGTCTTCATATTGGGATTTAAGGTATATTCCAAAACCCTAAACCCTAAAAATGGATTCTCTGGGTCGATGGTCGCCAGCCTTTGGCGCCGCTGCGGAGCTCGCATCGCTCCAGCTCGGCCACTGCCTCAGGGAAATCAGGGATCCTCTGAGGGTTCAGGGTTTAGGGTTGGGTTCGGGGTTTAGGGTTGTTTAGGGCTTAGGGTTTAGGGTTTAGGGTTTACGGATGTTTGGGCTTTGGGGATTCAGGGTTTAGGGTTCAAGGTTTAGGGTGGTTTGTAGGAACCCATAAGAGAACCTTGTCAGGTTCTGTTAAGGGTTCCTGTAATGGATTCTTCAAAGGATCCTTTCAGGGTTCGTTTGTAGGAACCCGGGACCCCACTATAGAACCTTATCGTACCCTTTTAGGCTTCTGTAGGGGTTCGAGGTTTAGGGCTTGTAGGGTTGAGGAACTCAGGGTTCGGGGATAGATGGGTTGGGGCTCACGGCTTTGGGGCCTCAGGGTTAGGGTGTAGGGTTTGCAAGAGATATACAGAACACCATCAAGATACTAGTAGGAGACTTCTAGGAGACTCGGAGATCGCCAGAAGCAACTAGGAGGTTCAGAAAGAGAAGAAATAGTAGTAGTAGTAGTAGTAGTAGTAGCGGTAGTAGTAGTAGTAGTAGTAGTAGTAGTAGTAGTAGTAGTAGTAGTAGTAGTCGTAGTAGTAGAAGTAATGGTAGTAAAGAACCCTACAAGAAGCGCATCAGAGTGACACGGAAAAGGTGATGGGATGCAAACAGATCCCAGTGAACACCCCCTCCCCCGCTCCGCTGTCCGCGTCACTCCGCCATCAAGCCGAAAAGCAACGACGGCCAAAATGGTAACACCCACGTTGGTTGTAGAAACCCCTAAACCCCGAACCCTAAACCATAAACCCCCTTTTTGATCCTGTTTCTAGAGGACATGGGCAACCCAACTCATCCCAGAGCCGGAATCTTCCAGCCTCGACTGTCGATCCTCCATCCCCAAAAGGGTTGTCGGGTTTAGGGTTGAGGTCCCCGCAAAGTTTAGGGTTTAGGGTTAAGGTCCCCGAAGGGTTCAAGGGTTTAGGGTTCAGGTCCCCAAAAGGGTTTTAGGGTTTAGGGTTAAGGTCCTCAAAGAGTTTGGGGATTCGGGTTTAAGTCCCCAGAGGGTTTAGGGTTTAGGGTTGAAGCAAAGTTGGCCCTAAACCAGACAGCAGGCCTTCTGACCGTTGTGCCCTCCAACGACATACAACGCCCCTGCCTGCGAGTCAGGCATGTTGCATTCCAAGACGGACCAATATCTCCTACTTCAGCATCCCTTCTGTGATTGCAAGGCTGTGATTTGAACCCCCCCCCCCCCAAGATTACATGAGGAGCACTACCAGAATTTGCCGCAAGTGTTGCTCAATAAATCGTGGATCCTATATCTTCGTGGATGCGGTATTGCGATTTAAGCCCTCTGATGGGTTGAGGCTGCCGTCTTACGATTTTATCTCAGAATACCCTTGCAATGCCAGATAACCCAAAAGCCAAAACACTGCTAAACCCTGAATTTAACACCGAAAACACCTAAAAGCACACTAACACTCCTAAACAACCTAAAAGTCTTGAAAGCCCAAACAGCCCTTAAAGCCCTCGACAGCCCAAACACCCTCCACGCCGAAACAACTCGGAGCCTCCTCCTCCTCCTTCTCCTACTATTACTTCTGCTAGTGCTACTACTACTACTACTACGACGACTACTACTACTGTTGTAGGGTTTAGGGTTTTAAGGTTTACACCCAAAATGCACAAAGAAGCGTACGGCTTAACTTGCTACAGGGTTTACCTTGCTTTATGGTTCCTAAACCTGAAGCCTTGTGAAGGCCCAGACACAAGCATTTTTCCACTTATCAGACGCAGTAGATTCAAATAGTGTTGGGATGCAATCTAGCAGGGCTGTACGGTCCACGGAATGCAAGGGAGCAGCACTAGCTGCCTTTTGTGCTAGAGCCTTGTCTGCCGGTCCGGTGAAACACGGTTGAGCTCAATGTTACAAAGGTTTGTCTTCCCGCTCTACCCCAAGTAAGGCTTTTGCCCTAACCTCTACCGAAGTTCGAAACCCCACAGCGCAAGCGCACAGGTTTCATCAGGAAGCCCCTCTCCCCCAAAAAAAAAGAAATGCCCGAACCCCGAAGTGTGCAGCCTGCTCCATCCCTACGCCCTTCTGGCCTACTTCCCAAAGACACCGAAGGAGTGGTTTTTGTATGGCCTCTCCAATCCCCAAACACCCCGAAAAGCCGCACTCAGCAACAAGTTTAGGATTTGGGTGTCCGAGAGCCCCGACGACCGCAGCGGCAGCTACGCCAAAGCGGTGCCTGCGTCGGACAGGCATGAAAACCGAGAAAATGGCTTCGTGTCGTTTGCGGAATTCATCGGGATTTGGGCCATGGTGGTAGGTTCTCAGTTTCAGGCTTCGCATGGAACTTCTCAACAAAATCTAATCTCGGTAAACAGCGGTCGAGGCATCACCATTCTTTCAGGCTTCCTTGATCACCTTTTTGGGCGGCTTGGGGCTGAGGAAGATCCTATGTTGCTGTTCAGGCTATTGCTTGACATGCGTGCTCCGCACTGTCGGGTTCCAACTATTGGTCCAGCGCACCCTCAAACTGCCAAGCGCTTGATCTCAATGAGGAGGAACCGAGATGCCTAATTTCCCAGAACAGGGATTCGGGGTATACCACGCTACGAGCGCGTATGCATGTATCTACCTATCTATCTACCTATCTAGCTGTCTATCATGTCCCTCGACCTTATAAACGCCAAACCCTATGTATTCATGCATGTATGATTATGTCTGTCTCCAAACCCCAAACCCCAAATAATGTAGGGGCCTTAATAATTAGAATAGGGTTTTGGGCCCATCATACTACAATGATAATAAGGAATCCCCAAAATAGTATTGGTAATTATTTAGCCCCCTACACCCTAAACTCTTACAGTAGCCCTTATAGAACCCTTTAAGGAATCCTTATAAAAAGGAGCCCCAAAACCATGTTCTAACTATGAAGGCCCCTACATCTTACTTCCCCAAGAAGCCAGGGAAATAAAAGGTTAAACTTTCAGATTACGACTAAATGATAAGAACCCAAAAAGTTTAAGGGTTGGGTATTGGGGAACTAAGATATGGAACCCTATAGATCCCTTTGAAGGAGCTCTATATACCCCCATAACGGAACCCTATAGATCCCTTCTAAGGTTGGGTATTGGGGAACTGAGACATTAAGCCCTAAACCCTAAACCCCAAATAACCCTGAAGCTCCCCGACCTGGGCTGAGCCGAGAGCGTGGACCAGCTGCCACTGGTCGGGTCAAAACGCTCGACCTCACTTTGCGGGGCGTGGGTAAGGAATAGAGTTTCAGGTTGAGGGTTTAAAGTTGTAGGGTGTAGGAATTAGGTTGAAGGGTTTCGAGCTGTTGGGGCCCGAGCCTCCGAGTTGGCGCAGCTGGTGCTAGAGTAGTGCTGATTCGGGCCATGGACACACGTAAACGGCCTTATTCAGATGTTGCTGCAAAGGCCCCGCCTTCTTTTTGGGATGACATCAAGATGCTTTATGAGGCTTCAGCTTCATTAGAGCTGCCTTTGGGGCGCAGCAGTGGTGCTTTTCATGTCGCTCTGGATGGGCGTGCGAATTGGCATGAGGGACGTTGGCTTCTTTCAGGGGTGCTTCTTTCCGGATGGTTTTCGCACAGTGAATCGGGCCCCTCCGGGCACATGTCTTCGACGGTCGTGGCGGTGACGGAGGCAATCTACCAGGCGGTTGCACGCCATTCCAAGGTTCTCAGGATCCTCCAGGCCCAGGTCTCGCAGGTGAATGGCACTCCTGTAATCGATACTTGCAAAGGTACCGCGGTCGTGGCAGGCACCTGTATGCCAGCACCTTCCGAAACTGTCGAGGTTGTTGAGGTTTTCTGTGGAAGCTTCAATGGCTGGAGTCAAGGGGTCAGGGTCTTGAATTCCTTCGGCTTCAAGGGTCGTGTCAAGTGGCTTCTGGATGTTGCTGAGGATTGCTACTTGGGGTGCCGACATGTCAATCCCGGGGCGACCTGCATTCTTGAGCCGTCCGATTTGATGGAAGCTTGGCAATCGCAGGCGCCTGCGTTTGTGTGCTCGAGCCTTGAGCACATCTGGTGGCTGCAAGGGCCGGCACTCACAAATCCTCAGGTATTGTGCGCGTCCGCGCCATGCCAGCCCTGGAGCACAGGTGGTACAGGCTCAGGCTTAGAGGATCAGGATGGTCTCCTCTTGCTTCATTTGTTTGGCCAGCTTGCTTTCCTAAGTACACCGATCGTCCTTTTGGAGCAAGTCGCGGGATTCAGGAACCACCCTCACTATGACATAGTTGAGCAGGCTTGGCAGGATGCAGGCTATCGTGAGGTCTGGTCGGGTGTGTTGGATTTGCTTGATCTTTCCCCGGTTACGCGCAAACGGTTCTTGATCGTGCTTGTGCATCGCTCAATCCCGGCGCAGCAGCTGATGGATGACAAACCAGTCCTTCCACCGAGGCCCACGCTTGGGAGTTTCGATTGCATTCTGGAGCTGCCCTGGGAGGTTGAAAAAGCCTGTCGGCCCTCCGAGGAAGTGTTAAACATGTACTTAGATCCCTGGTACATGCCTCCCAGCAGACATGTACATGCGAGGCAGCAATCACCAGCCAGCTTTCGCCTCCGAGGTCCATCAGACCGAGCGGCTTGTTTCATGGCACAATACCATTATCAACACGAGCTATCCCCCAGGGTTCTGGAGAGGGCAGGCCTGTATGGGGTCTTGTTGCATCTGCCGACAGGCACAAGGTTCTTCAGTGGAGCGGAAATCGCGTTGATGCATGGAGCTGTTTGCCCGGTTTGGCTGTCCAGGGATGACAGGTGTCAGATGCGACACTTGGGCAACAGCCTTTCGCCCTTACATGCAGTAACTCCTTTGGCGCTGGCTTTTCAGCTTGTAGGACCGAAATCCCTGCGGGTTTCTAATGCACAGGCTACCTTGCAGTGCTTGTCGATGCGCTACCGCGCAAGCCAGGTCAACTTTCTGGAGTTCCGGGATGGTTGGGTTTTGTATAAGGTTGGGGAGGCCTTCGGTGCTCTGTTTGAAGCATTCCCATCTTGGTTGCCAAGGCAGCAGTTGCCTGATCAAAAACTGGCCTTCCACAGGTTTGAACTTTTCGATGAGACAGATGCCTGCCAAGTCCTTGTCGCACCTGATGTGCCCTTGCCTGCTTTGTTCGCTGCCCTGGGGCACGAGCTCCCCGATGAAGGCTTGGAACAACTTGACCTGATCGAAGTCCCCAGGGACCTGGAGCTGCCGCACACGCTTCACACGCCTGGCGAGTCCAGCATTCAGCTTGACTTCTTGCCATCGCTGCCCTTCGTTCGCCGACAGTCTCCAGAAGTGCCCGAGCTGCAAATGCTCATTGTCTTGGGCAGCAAAGCATGTTACTTCCTTAGCAGGGAGAGCCCACTCTTCTTCTGGGAAATGGGCCAGGCCATGTCTTTGGAGGGCTGGCACAAAGCGGAGTTCTATGAAGAAGATACATGGTGTAACCTTGAGGGTCATCGCATTAAGTGCCGGGAGGACCTACAGGGCACGGTCAGCTTTCACATTGCGGATTCCTTGGCCTCAGGCCCCGCTTCGCTTAACTTGGATTGCCTGCAAAGCATCTGCACTGTCCGCGCGGCTGCACCGCCTCAGATTCGGATCGTGGGGCCTCAGACGCTCCCTCTTTGCAAGGGGTTTCCGGTCCTCCCCTTTGCTGCCTTGGGCTGGAAAGCTGATCTCATGCCACGGCTGTGGGACAACCAGGTGGGCGCAGACCTCACTTTCTCGGCGCGCCATGATTGCTTCCGGGTCCCTGAGACTAGGGTTCTTCCCACATGTGCTAAATTCCTGTTGGCCTCGCTCTTCCGTGAGATGGAAAACATTGTCAACCAGGATGCCACTGAGGCTGTTCCTTGCAAGGTTCAGGTTCAAGGTTGCACATTTTGGCAGGGCAGACTCCCAGCTGCCTTAGACTTCTCTGAGCTCGCTGATTTGTGGTCTGAGGCCCACCGTGCTTTGGGCGTTGCCGCCCCGGTCAGAGTTTACTCTGGCCCCCGTCAGATCCCGCCAGAAATCACACTGCAGCATGCTAGCATGGGTCCGGTCACACCGGGTTTCCTTAATCGGGCTGGTTGGTTGTTGGTCTCCTATATGCCTGAGACACGTGGCGGTGGAGCCAAAGACGCCAAGTTCAAATCGGCCCAGACCGACTTGGCTCAATTCCTTTTGGAGCAAGGCCTCTCTCTTGGCCAGACTACGGCGACGGCGGATAAACTGCTCCCCCTTGCTGGCACATCCCGGGTGCAAAGGGTCCTTGACCTCACAGACAGTGCCAATCGTTGGCAGCAGTTGGCGGCCTTGTGCAAGCAGTTTTCGGTGCCCCTCCCAGAGGTCCCTTCCGCCGCAAACAAGGCGGCGGCTTCTACTGCCTCCGAGGCCCTTCGCCGTCGAGCAAAGAACGAGCCTCGCCCGACTGCTGCGGACTTTTCGATCCAGCCAGGCTTCTTTCGCAATGCGGATGGTTCGCCAGCCAATGTGTTGTCACAGCTCATGCCAGGTGCCTGTGGTGTCTACCTGTGTGATGCCGCAGACGCGGGGCGCATTCTGCAGGATTGGAAAGGAACAAGTACAGATGAACTCGGGCTTGTTATCTTGGGCCATTCCTGCCCCGACCCGAGTACTTGCCAAGGGGCCGGCAGCACTCCTGCAGTTACGGTTGCTGGCCACCAGGTCCTTTTGCATACGTGCTGGCATAACATGGGCAAGAGCTTACTGCACACAAGATGTGACAATGATGCCAGTGTCAGCCTGCCTGATTCCACGTGTGTTTGTGCCACGGTCTTTCAAGATGAGTTTTCGGCGCCCGAGTGGCAACATCTCACTGCCAACCCCGTGCGGGCCATCACGGACAAACTTCGGTCTAGTGGCTCCTCGACCGTACTTGAGGCCCCCTGGGGCCGCAGCTTTCGCAAGAATGGCCGGGCCAGTTCCTCCACGGACTGTGAGTCCGTGCAGTTCCACTGCCGTATCCAAACCAGCGATTTGCTGCAGCTGCTACGTTTCTCAGGCCATGCACAGGTTTACCTGACTCCTAAGACTTGGCAGGGCGAGGTTGCTAAAGGCTTTTCGGTCGTTTGGGCCACAGGTGACAAGGAGGATGTGATCCGCCTCAGTTTGCAGGTGCCCGACCCACTGGGCATAGTGCGTTCCAAGCGCCGCTTCGGAATCCGTGTTGCAGAAGCCAACTTCGAACCGGCATGGAATATTGTGCGACCAAACCAGGACGCTCCCCCCAAGGTCGATGTGACGGGCCTCTTCAAGCTCCTTTCGGCCCCTCCTCAGGTCCGGGGCTCTGACATACAGGAATGGGCCAAAAAGATGTCATGGGACGTGCGCCCTCTTCGCTGCTTGGGCCCGGGACAGTGGTTGTTGGGTGCTTGTGGGCCTCCTCCTTCGGGTCTTCTTAGCATGAATAAACAGGCGGTCTTGGTACAAGCCGTTGAGCCCCGACAGCAGAGCAAACCGGTCGTCCGAGCGGGCAAGGTTCCCAAGGCGCTTCCCTCGGCCGTTGCTGCCCCGCCTGACGGCGACGATCCTTTGACTGCCAATGATCCATGGAAAAACTACTTGGCCTCCACTGGTCGTGTACTTAGTGTTGCAGCTCCCGGCCCGCGCCAGGCTGAGCCCCCCAACCAACAGCGCTTTGATCAACAGGAGTGCCGCCTTCAAAAACTGGAAGCCGGCCTTGATGAGCTCCGCAGGGGCCATACTGCAGTGGCCCACCAACTTGCTACGACGCAGACTGTGGTTGAGTGCCAAGTTGAAAAAGTCCAGGGCGATCTCAATGCATTCGCTCGCGACTTCCAGCAGCAGATTCAGGCCAATGCTGAACAGCAGCGCCAGGCCCAGAATGCACACCAACAGCAGATGCAAACTGGCATTGATGAGATCAAAGCCCTGCTGGCAGCTCAACGGAGCTCGGCACAAAAACGCCCCGCACAACTGCCCGAGATGGGCGACGACTTGTGACTAAACCAACAGCTGGGGTTTGGCACCATTTTGGTGCCCGGGGGTTTTCTTTGGATTCCCTTCCGCCGCCTGATTCCTTTATGGTTCATTGGATTTCGTTTTGGGGAGGCCTCCAATCCGGGCCCCTCTCCCACCGGCTCACTGATTACTTTGGCGGTTGTGAATCCTACCACCATTCTTGATAAGGAATGGCAGATGAATCAAGTTGGGGCCGATGTGCTCATTGCAAGTGAAACCTCCGCCAACGCGCGGGTGCAACA